ACTGCTCGAACCATGACTTCATCACGTGGATATAAAAGCTCAACGACAACATCCAATTACACTCAGCCCGACATCATCACACCACTTCGTCAAACAAACATTAATACCTCAACGACAAATCAACAAACCAGTATCAACACAACACCTGCAACATCTGGTAATGGAAATGCTTGGCACTATCCATCACCAACATTCCGAATGGGTATTGGCGGAGGAAGAAATAACAACAATCATCAGGGAGAAATTAATGATTTGCTTTCGTATATTGACGCAATACAACTGAGTAAAGAGCCGACGCCACGAAAAAAGAAGGCATTGGAAGCTATTTATACTAAATTGCATAACCTTCAGTTCGAAGTAGATCGGTATTTCCAGGAGAAAATACGGAAAAGGGAAATAGACCCGGAGTTAATACCGCATCAGGTGGAATTTAGAAATCCTATATAAATACTTAATATGGATAACAAATAGGAATCAGAAGTTCACGTGCAAAAAGACCAATCAAAAATTGATAAAATAAATGTCATCGTTGTCTTGATTTGTAGTTTATATTATCGGCCCAAAATAACAGCAAACATCCGGATGGGCCGTACCGAAATAATCATTAAAAAAGTTGATCAAACTTCCAAATTGCTTGATCTTTGACACATCAGAAAAACCTTGTTACAGTTGCCCGTTACTCCAGTACCAATACTACTAAATAGCCGTCGTTACCTATCACTACATTATTGTGTTTAAGATACCCCCTTAATTTGTGTGTAGGTTAATTGCTATAATTATATTTACTGTTTCTCGTCATCATAGAACTTAAAGGCGCGCTGATAGCTGCTGGGGACTGTTAGAGAAGCACAGAGCATTCAGTGCTTAACCTTACACGCAAAAATAAAAATTCTCATATTCATTCTTTTGTTCGTGAAAATTCCTTTTTTTTTTAATTTTTAATTGAAAACATTTCTTATCTCGCCGATATTAACGCGACCACTACCAGGGTATCCCTGTTTTTTGAAGAATACAGCCACACAGAAAAGAAATAAAACAAACAAAGCCACACTTGACATTTTGTCTGAGGATAAAATAATTTATTTCTTTGATAATATGTGTGATCACAAGCATTTCACTGAATAATAAGGGCAGTAATTTGGTATTAGAAGTTCTGAAGTTTTGGAAAGGGTTTTTATCAAAAGTGAGATTGATGACCGAGAAGATCATGAAAAAAAGTTTACGTGCCACATATTTGCATAATTTGGTGCTATAAAAAGTCGATTGTTCATTAATTTCATTCATATTTTTAATAGATTATCGTTAGGTTCTAATCTAGATATCGCTAAAACTTTAGTTAGTAAATTTGGTATACGGTCAACTCTTATATAACGAACCGGTGGGTCTTTTTATAAACGAATTAATATCGGGAGTTCGTTTCGTTATAAAGGGGTTCGTTATATCCAGAGTTGATTATATAAGATAATATTATTAAGAAATGAAAATTGATGTACCAAACCAAATTTACTAGCTAAAATTTTAACGATATCAAAATATATAGAAAAGAGACTAACGACAACCTATTAAAAATTATTATTGTTGACAATTTCCCATTTAAACTTGAGAAATTTAAAATAGTCATTTGAATGAGATTAATGAAATTAATGAAAAATCGTCTTTTATAGCACCACCATGATGATTATCGTTATTTATTATGTTCGGTGATTTTTACGATTGTTCTAATTTTTTGTCGTTGTTCGTAGCTTTCGCGTGGTTCGAATTAGAATAAAATCAATGACACAACTACCACTAAACAATGATGATAATGTATTGTTTTTGTTATCGTTCTTTTAAAAATTTTGACCACAAATATAAATGCAAGCCACTCGCGTTTTTCGTTTATTATAGTCCATACACCCGTATGGGCGTAACATCACCATTCTAAATATGGGAATGAAATTATAAAAAGTTGATCAAACTTCCAAATTTCTTGATTTTGACACATCAGAAAAAAAAATTTTGTCACAGTTGCCGTTACTCCAGTACCAATACTACTATTAAATAGCCGTCGTTACCTATCACTACACCATTGTGTTCAAAATACCCCTTAATTGTGCTTGTAGGTAATTACTGTAATTATATTTACTGTCTCTCGTCATCACAGAACTTAAAGACGCGCTGGTAGCTGCTGGGAGACTTTGTTAACAAGCACAGCACATCTCAATGCTTAACCTCACATAAATACAATTATCGCATTCATTCTTTTGTTCGCGAAAATTCCATTTTTTTTTTCCTATTGTAAACATTTTTCTTGCTTGTCCTCACCGCCGCATACATTATTTATTTATCAACTTCTCTCTAACCTCGCCGATATTAACGCGACCACTACTAGGGTATCCCTGTTTTTGAATATTCCCACTTGGAAACGAGCCTAATAAAAAGAATATAGCCACACAGAAAACAAAAAAAAACAACAAAGCCACACTTGACCTTTTGTTATTATTGTTTCTGTTATTATTAGTTTCTGCAGGACCGAGGATAAAATAATATAACAATAATATTATAGTAACATAATTCACTTCTCTGGTGACGTGAGAATCTCACTGAATAATCTAAAAATAAGGGGAGTCTCTCTCCATACAAAACAATAATAATCATAATGGATTGGTTAATAAAACGAGGCGGTATACCAAAGACAATGTCGAATTCGACCGCCTCTTCCTCAACAAAAACTATGCTCTCGGATAATTCTACCGAAGACCCTATCTTCAAGACTGTTGGTCTTGTTTTGGCGCTTTTAAGTGGTGAGTGCGGTATTTATTGGTGTCTTGAAGGATTTGACATATGTTTGAAGTTTTGGGAAGGGTTTTTTATCAAATGTGAGATTATAACTAAGGATTGAGATTACCACAAGATTCCGAATTCGCATGATAAAAGTTTTACGTCGCATGCACATTACTTTCGCGTAGCTCATGTGCTTTTGGAATTGAAATTTTTTACGCGTCGATCGTGTTCAATTGCACGAATTAGAGTAAAATCAGTGACGCAATTATAGTCAATATAATTAATTCTGGTTAATGGGTGTAAAAATAATTGGAAATGAGAGCTCTACCATTTTAAAAATATCGATTTCATTTTTTTTTTGTGGGACATGATAACCAGGTCTCTTCATTGGATCATCTTTCATATTTAAAAAGAAAGGTCTTCTTCAAGCAAATAAACCTGGTAAGTGTTTAATTTTTGCTGCAAGAATTTTCGAATTTTAAATGTCAAAATTTTATATATTAATTAATTGTGTTGGGTATATTGATAATATTGATATTTAGGGGCAACCGCCGGAGAAGGATATAGTTACCTGTCAAATGGTTTATGGTGGTTAGGCATGTCATTAAGTAGGTTGATTTTATTTATTTAAAACAGATATACATTAATTGAGTTGGCATGGGATAATGAATAATGATTTTATATCAAACCTAATCAAATTTTTCTAGTGATAATTGGAGAGATGTGTAACTTTATAGCCTACGCATTCACTCAAGCTATATTGGTCACACCTCTAGGCGCGCTTAGTGTAGTTATCAGGTACGAAACCATATTTTTTTTCTTTTTTTTTACACGCGAGTTTGAGCTGATGATTTACAGATATCAATAATAATTATATTAATTAACTTTAGTGCTGTTCTTTCTTCGATATTTCTTGAAGAGCGACTCACCATGCAAGGAAAAATTGGCTGTGCTCAGTGCATATTCGGTGCTATTATTATTTTGATGCATGCACCGGATCAACAGACAGCTAATACTATTGATGAATTTGAGCATCTATTTATTCAGCCTAGTATGTAACAACAAATCATAATTACTGTCGAAAATATTTTTTACTCTGATCTAAATTAATTCACTACATTATAAATTAGTTTTTCTCACGTATGCTGGTCTCGCAATTCTCGGCAGCATAATAGTAAGGTGGAAAATAGCACCGAAATATGGCTCAAAAAACATGTTAGTCTATATCGGGATCTGTTCACTGATTGGCTCGTTATCAGTCGTAGCTACTCAAGGTTTCGGACGCGCAATCGTAACTTCAATCATGGGCGAAAACCAATTCACACACTGGTTTCTGTATTTCCTGGGCGGGTTTGTGATCATCACCCTACTGACACAACTCAATTTTCTCAATAAGGCTCTAAATCTTTTCAACACTGCAATGGTGACTCCCGTTTACTACGTCACGTTTACAAGTATGACGATGGTGAGCTCGGCTATTCTGTTTCAGGGGTTCACAGCACCTCCAGTGAACATCGTATCAGTGGTTCTTGGATTCTTTGTGATCTGCAGTGGTATATTGCTGCTGCAAACTTCGAAAAGTGGTGTTGATGTTCGAGGCTCAACAATACATCCCGATCGTCGAATTAGTATGTCAAGTGATGTGAGCCTTGAACCGGGTGGTCCCGGTCCCTTTGGTAGTTTCCGTCGGTACTCTATGAATCATAATGGACGAACACATTCCTCACATCATTCAAATGCGCCAATTCGACGAAGTATGAGCTTGAGTTATAGTGGATATTCACGGCGAGGATCCAGTAACGACAACAATGACAACATATTATCCATTGTTGATGAACAAGATACAGCAACTTTAACGAGTAATAAAGGCATTCGTGGAACTATTGATACGACTGCTGCAGAGATTAGTATAGCAATGGGTGAAAGTCCTTATGATAAAGATGCTGTCGAATTATCAAACAATCCTTCAAAAAACACCAATAGCCATGATTCCTCACGACATTCCACCGTAAGATTCGCCGAATCAAATAATGGACAATCACCAACTCGCACAACTCCATTTATTCATGCAACTGCACCATCCATCTCATCGACAGTAACAACATCACCGCCAAGTTCGCCGCATTTAATTCTTCCACCACCATTATCACCGTTACAACATCCAAT